AAAATAAGGTGAAAATAAAATTTTTTCACAAATTTTGCTCCATTCTGTGAAAATAAATTTGTAATATCATAGTCATGAGAGAAAAAATAAAGTTAACTCCAATTTCCTCTAGTATGGACAGTCTTCCCAAATTGTTTACAATATCTAATAGTTTAGAAAGTTTTATTTCTTTTTTCACATCTCAGTGCTGGTGATGTCATGTAAACTTTTGGGATCATCTAACTTAGGAAAAGTCCAATCAAGGTTTATTTCACATATGAGCTGTAAAGTCAGAGCAAACATGCGTCTTAAGTCACCTTATAACATCCCCATTACTGTGAATTGTTAAGAACATTTCATGTCACAAGAAACTTATTCTCCCAATATGTTTATAAAATAATTGAAGCCAATTCATTGTTCCCATTGGAAATCTCTTCTTCCTTCCTAAGAAATGAATGATTTTGGTATAATATGAATCTTTCTATAATTTATTTCTTAATGTCAAAACAATTTCTATTAATTTTATCACATTTCCTTATCATTTTTGCTCCACATTCCTTTACTTTTACCTGAATTTTTTCTCAATTCTGTAATGTCATACTGATATTCTATGGGAAGTAAACCTAGTAAAAGAGGACACGAGGAAATAGATGAGTGGACAGTACAAAACTAGTGGGAACAATAAATAGTGGGTCCCAGAAGATACTAGAGGGAAGAAAGAAGCTGGGAAGCAAGGAGGAACTTCAGTCAAGGGGACACCTCTTTTAGGACATCTATGACTCTCCATAGTGGTTTGGTATGTGTTCCTCCCATAGCACCCTCTATTCTAGCACACTTCGTACAAGCAAGATACATTATACCATTTTAGCTAGCAATACTCCTTTTGACATTAAGCTCTTCAAAGGCAGGGTCTACCTATTTGCTCACTACTGTATGACATATGCTCAGCATGAAATAATTACGCTCATTTAATGAACAAAAGAATGAATGCTGCTTTGGGGATTTTTAATAAATTGGAGAAATTGTTGCAACATAATGTGATCAGAATAAAACAGTAGATATCAAAATATGTACTACAGAATGATAATTATTGAACTGTTACTGAACTGTTACTGAAGCTGAGCATAGTTTTTGCTCTACTTCTGTGTATATTTGAAATTTACAACAAAAAGGAACAAATATTACACAAAATTTATTACCACCTATGTTGAAAATATCGTACATTGTAAAGAACATAGGAAAAAGACATTTTAACTTTTGAGGTCATGTTTACACATGCTTTGAGAATTTTTTATTTAATTCTAAAATGACCCACAACTCTATATAATTCCCTTCCCATGCATACTGACTAGACCAAAGAGTGCAATGGAGTATCACTTTCCAAATCCTGTTATATTACATGGAAAAGTCAAGGGATTTTGCAGAACTAAGTCTCTACTCGGTTGCGTCAACTGGCCTAATCAGGTGATTCCCTTGAAAGGCGTTCCAGGAACTGAGTGTCTGGAGAGAGAGACTCCTGTGGCCCTGAAAAAGCAAACCACCATGAGTTCTACTACAGCAGAAGAAAAATTCTGTCATCAGCCATTAAGTTTGCAGCACAATCCCAGCTTCAGGTGACCCGATAGTCCAACCGGAATTTTGCCTGCATTCTTTGAGACTTAGATCAGGTAACTCAACCCACTGGAAATTGTGTGGTCATTCATGTATGTTCCTTTAGGCTGCTAAGTTTGGGATAATTTACCATGCATTGATAGAAACTAATACATTTTCTTGCCACTTTTCTGAATTTTCAAGATATTTCGTAATAAATCTTCATTTCATAACTGAAGAGAAGGTTATTTATAAGAAAAATTGAAGAAAATTAATGTGGATAATTTAGGCCCTATTTTCCAACAAAGAGAACTGACATCATTTTTCTGAATGTTACTAACAAAGAACTACATTAAATAAGAAGAAATCTCTGTATTTTAATGCTCTGGACAAAATCCAAAGTCATCTAGCTCAAGGACAAAAACGAATACACTCTGTGTAATTGAACTGGTGGATGCTGCAACAAAGGCGCTGAAAGATAAACCTTTGCATAAATCATTCTTCCATGCTGTGCTGATTCATTGAAACCATTTCAAACGAACAGATTTTAATTTCAGTTTAGCCACCATCACCCATCAGGATAACCTACTGATTAATGATAGAGTTAAGTGGAAAAAGAAGCCATTCATGAAACAAACAATGTAACTATCAATCAAGCATGGGGATGATACTGTTCAAATACTATATAGTACTTGACTCTCTAGCACCACTCCATGGAGACCTGCAGCGCAGTTAAACACTTTAATGATAATATAAAAATTATCAGCGCAAAAGTTCACAGTATCAAATAGGATGAGGACTCAAAGATACAACGAGGGATTTACTGAGCATTCACAATAATCAAGAGTCCCTATGATGTGTAATTAGCTCCAGTCCGAATACGGAACAAATGTTTCTTCCTCCAACACCCATCTGCCTCCTACATCTGCAAATTAAATGGAAATCAGATAGGAAATCATCCTGCCTGAATATTTAAATCCATCCTGGGACTTTGATTCCTTAAGCTAAGTGAAATTCATTTTATTTATTAGCTTATGTATTTGGTGTTAGGTATTATTTTTTTCAATCTAGATTTACAATGTTTATCTCCAGAAGCCCAAGATCCCCACATCAGCCATGTCCTCTCAAATATAATCCCAACTGGCTCCAAGAGAAATGAAGACCACCTCAACCAGCACCACTTTCCTAATTTATTTTCCCATAGCATGAGTCATTTTTTGACATACCATATATTTCATTTATAAACTTTTCCTCAAAAAGTTTTTCTCTGTTAAGATAGGAATTTTTGCCTTTCTTTGCTTGTTAATAATCAATCCAGTGTTCAACACAATCAATAAAAATTCAATCAATAAACATTGCTTAAATGACTCGATTGATGGATGGATGACTAGATGGGTGGGTGGATGGATGGATGGATCAACTGATGGATGGATGGATGGATGGATGGATGAGTGGATGGATGAGTGGATAGATGGATGGATGGATGGATGGATGGATGGATGGATGGATAGATGGACTGATGGATGGATGGATGGATGGATGGATGGATGGATGGAAGGATAAATGGACTACTATCTGAAAACCTTTGTAAGGAAACTATAGGATTGACACTAGCTCTTCCTTTTAATAAAGTTTACTCCCAGTGTTGGAAAGTCAACAAAGGAATTTTTGATTGCTGAAAGTTTCACTGTGTCACAAAATTAAACTGAACAATAAACATTAAAAATGAGTAAGTTGGGGGCTGGGGATTTAGCTCAGTAGCATAAGCACCTGCCTTGCAAGGAGACAGTTGTGAGTTCAATCCCTGGTACCGATAAAAGACCAAAAAAAAAATGAATAAATTCAGATTCCACCAAAGAACAAAAGTCAAAACCCCATTTACTACCTGACCTCCCATATTTCCTCATTTTGACTGCTAAATTAGAGTAGCTTAAGGATGTATTCTTCCCGCCTATTCTCAATTTTCATTTACTTTTTCAATGGCCTTAAAGTGACCCCAGAAAGATCCCTTGCTCTTTCACCCTCTAAAAGTGCAGCAAGAAGATGTCCATTCCTGTGGACCAGGAAGTCAGTCCTTGCCGGACACCAAATCTGCCAGATCTTCTACTTTTTTGCCTCTAGAGCTGTAAGAAACAAATTCCCAGGTTGGTGAGCCCTTAGTCACATGTGGCTTGTCACAGCTACCCAAGTGGACTAGAACTAAAGAGTGATGCCTGCCTTATTCTGCATTATGTTGGTCTCTAAAAGACCACTAAGCATAAAAGACAAGAAACAGGCCATAAATTGAAACTCAGCAGTTTAAACTATGTAACTACATCAATCCAAGATGAGAGGAGGCAGGATCTAGAAAGAATGGTAGCAAATCGATATTATATTGTTTATACAACCTTAAAAAAATGAGTTCCTCACTGAAACTAACTTGAGTTAATAACAGTGCAGTCATAAACATTTTTAAAGCATGTATGACTCTTAACTCATTCATAGTAATGAGGAATATGCCCACTTAACTTCCTAAAGTACAAATTCAATCATTTTACTGTCTCTAATTCCTCACTGATTCCCAAAATGGACCCTAGACCTATGGAAATAGAAATTATACATAAACAATAGGCAAATAAACTTGATATAAATTGTTAAGAAATTCCCCCTCTTCCAAAGTGCTACAGAAAAGTAGTTTTCCTATTGTTTTCATCAAATGCGAATTCTATCCTCAAATGGATGGAAGAAACAGAGTCTTCTGCTTCTCCTATCACCGAATGGGCTTGGCAAGTTACTAGCTTCTGAAAGTTCATTTTTCACTTTGACAAAATAAAGAAATTGGACAAATTGCTGTTCAGTTCTGAAGAAGGGTCAGCTCTGCATCATCCACACCTCTCACCCACGTTCTACCCCACCTAACTGGGCTCTGTTTCCACAGGGCTTGACCGATCAAGGTAAATGGCCAAAGGAGATAAAACACAAATTGTAAAGCTGCCAAGTCAGAGTCACACAAGCAAAAAATAACCTAGTTCCTCAGCGTTTACATAACACTTATTACAGTTTCAGACCATGTTGGGACATTAATCCACACAAACCATAATCATAAATGATAGAAGATGATGCAGAGGCACAGGAAATTGACTGGAAAACTTAACAAAACACATCAAAAGCAAGAGAAAGACATTTTAAAATAGAAAGTGATTATAGAGTCACTTGCATTTTTGTTCTATGTCTGTAAAACATAACTCTGGGGTGAGAAAGGGACAGCAAAATCTGGATGGAACCCTCCTTCCTGGACCTTGGCTTGGGACTTCCTCAGGAGCTTACTGCAGCCTAACAGCTTGGGCTGCTCAAATATTAACCAGATCAGAGGAGACAAAACTGAACAGTGGCCAAACCTTCATTTGGATCAAGCAAATAATGTGTGGTATGGAGAACAAAACTGTTCTTACCAAGTCAGGCATGGTGGCACATGTCTGCATCCCAGCACTTGAGAGTTGGAGGCCAGCCTGGGTTACAAAGTGAGTTCAAAGCCACATGAAATGCACAGGGAAACCCTGTATCAAAAAAAAAAAAAAAAAAAAAGACAAAACTATTCTTCTTAAATAATAGATAACTCAGAATGACATCTCTGAAAATTAATAATTTAAGTTTCTCATAGAAAAGACTGTAGAATGAAGTCATACTTTATTCAACAAAGATTGAGTGCTTCATATGTACTGGGGGTACAAAGATGAAAAAGACATAATTTTTAATTCAATAAGTATATACACAGCCTATAAAAAGGGGTGAATGCAAACAGCTGAATAATAACAGCACACTGGGGCTGGGGGTTCAGCTCAGCGGTGTAAGTGCCTGCTTGGCAAGCGCAAGGTCATAAGTTCCATTCCCAGCACCAAAAATAATAGTAATAAGAAGAGTGATAATAACAACAGCAGCACAGCTGTGATAATCACAGGACAGGTGTGACTTGGTGGAACAATAAGAAAAGCAAGGTGTAGCTCTGTTACAGCATTTATTAGCAGACAATTATTAAACAATTTATTAAAATTGTCTTTGTGACACTGTCTCTATAGATTGTATGCTTTTAAGGAACCATGTGTTTGTCATCTTTGCTGTCTCTATTATTCCAGAAAAATACTCTACCCTGCATAGAAGAGTCACTCAGTAAGAATAGACCTGTATCAGGTCCTGACTTAGATCCCCGATCTCTCAAAGGAGTGTACCGTGGAGGCTTAAATAAAATGAGACAAGCAGTTTTAGGGCTCCAGGAGGGTCAAAATCCTTTAGCTGAGCTCGAGACTCCAAGGACTAAAACAAAGACTTCTCTGGACTGCCCACTTTATTAGGTCCAACAACAAGGGGTGGGGAAACTGAGGAAAGCACAGGCAATGAGCAGGACCTTGGGAGTCACTTCAAGGACATCTCCAAGTAATGAATCAAGTCAATTCAGTAGCACTGTCTTATCATGAAGACTTGATAGGAGTGAGACTGTAGAAATAATTTCGGTAGCTGTAGTCTCTACTTAATTGATGTTTGAGCCAAGAGTCCACAGCTGTGGCCTTATCTTGCCCTTTGAGGTATCTCTGGCCTCACAGGCCACTACAGGCCTCAGCCAGGACCAGTGATTCATAGAGGTTCACTTACTATGAATCAGATCCCTTCGCTAGGCAAGGGGCCTAGGCCTAGGACAGACTCACAGTAAACATAGAAAGCCAATTAGTTAATTTTAAATCCTGCTCAGAGCCCCTGAGTAGTGGTCTCCAACAGACCTGAACAGAAATAAACTGCATTTGTCATTATGCTTAGAGGTCAGACAGGAGATTCTTAGGTGAATTTGCAGAAGAGATATCTGAACTAAATTTTCAATGATGAATTGGAATGTCCCTGAAATATAATAGAACAGGATTTGTAAAATCACAAGAAATATGAAGTAACCATAGCAATAATCACATCTAACATTGAATATGCCAGAAACTCCTATGCACTAAAAGCTTGTTATCATTTCTTCCATCAGCCAGATGACATAGGCACAATTTTATAGATGGGGAAACTGAGGTGAATAGTGGTTTAAAAATATTTCCAAGGTCACACAGCAGGAAAGTGGTAAATGTGGAATTTGTACCTCAGGGACTCTGGTTCCAGCCCCTGAGGCAAGATAATGTTACACGCTCATCCAGGTCCAGCGTCCAGTGTCCAACCTGCCCAGCACCTACATTCACTCACAGAATCGCTGCCCCTGTAGTAGACATCCACCCACCCGTCTCATCTTGTCACACTGCTGTTTTCATGACACAGGTCTCCATCTGCTCACGGAGTCTCCCTCTTCTTGGCTTCCCTCTGCTAAGGCTTTTTCTATTTCTGTTGCTATCTATCCCTCTCCTCTCTATGTCTCACACTCATGCTCTCCAGGAGAACATCCTGCTCTTTTAGAGTAACCACTTGTACTCACTGTTTGTTGGTTGGAGCTGTTCAGTATCCAATTCACTGACACTCTGGTCTCCTTCTGGGGTAACGTCAGTGTCGTGATGGAACCCACATTCCACACGACAAGCAGTGAGCTTCTTCATTTCCAGCCTGGCTATGGAACAAGAAAGTCACTTGACCTGGGATTAGGACAGTTCCACAAACAAGGGACTGCTGAGGTCTACCCTGGTTAGAAGGAGAAGCAGGAGCAACAAGCTAAAAATTCCTCAAGTCTGGTGGAACCTTTGCTGCAAGCTTCTCACTCCCCACCCCCCCATGCAAAGCTCCCAGAGCACTTTGTTTCTCCTCTTTTCTAAGCAAAATCCTCCAGGTTCCAGTAGATACGTGAGCTACAGCATCTGTCCAGCTCATTAAGGTTAAATTAAGCGGAATCATTTTCTATTGCTTCCAAATAGGAACGCAAACAACTTGGGCACCAGGAAGTTTTGGCTCTCAAATCTGAGCTGTCTTTGGCTATGTTTTTACATCTGCTGACTTTGGCTGAGGTCCCTAGCCATAGTCCAATCCACTGAGGCCTGGAGGGCAGGACCACACAACTAGACTGGTGCAGCTCCCGTCCAGGCAGCCACTCTGGGCCTCTGTATTCAGGAGGGAACTGGGGGTGGCTAGCTGAAATCTCAGAGCCTGGGAGTTTGCGTCATGTTCACAAGCTGAGGGCACTGAGAGTGTCCGCGAGGATGAAGATGGGTGAGAGGAAAGAGACGGAGCTGTCAAGGGCTCTGAGGAAATAGGTGTGATGGAGGGAGAGGTCCTGAAAAGCAAGAGAAGTCATCCCAGCCCATTCTGAAGAGAGGACATAAGAGTACCTTTGCCAAGGTACAGGCATTTAGTGAGTAGAAGGATCCTGAAAGAGTTACCATAAATAGACTCTGCCTTCCTGACCAGGTCATCTGCTGACAGTGAGTGGTTAAAGGGAGGATTTTCAGTCTGCAGCACCAGGATGGGAAGCAGAAGAGGGCCTCTGGGGAGCTGGCAGAAGGGCTGTGTGGGGCTGCCCCAAAGCAACTGTTTCTATTTTGCATTTGCAAATAGAAGCAAACTGCTCCTGGCTCCTAGTTTCCCGAAGCCTTTTATAGGAAGACTCAGACAAAGGCTCCACCACCTTTTCTGAAAATTTTCACTGCAAAATTAAGGACTTGCAAGCTCAAGCAAATTTCACAGAACAGAACAGTCTTTAACCTAGCTTTCCAATTTTGTAGTTTTACAGCTTTTGGACTATTCAAAGTAAGTCTCTTTGATGATCCAGAGGGCAATAATTATTTGACTAAAGAAAGTTTGAGAAAGCAGAAATTCATTGTTAAGGAATCTAGATATCTGACTCGAATCTTTTTAAAAGGAAGAAGTTAGTTAACTTTGTACAAAGAATTTGGAAGAAAATTTAGATACAAACAAACTTCTGGGGTTCTTAAGGAAGTATGAAATAGTGATATTTATATTAAAAATTTTTGCTTAAATTTTATTGGTGAAAAATATAATCACCAAGAGCAACTTATTCAGGACCCCCTCCTGTCTCTCAGGAGCTATTCCCATTCTCCATTCCTTTTCCCCAATAAAATTTCTTACTCTCAAAAAAGAAAAAAGAAAGAACTAACTTTTGAGCACAGAAACACACACACACACACATATATATGTATATTTATGTATATATATATATACAAAACCATCACAAAAACATCTCATTTTAGTTCAAATAAACAGTGAAAAGCCCATGTCTAAAGCCTCAGGAATAACAGTTTGGGTGTGATACACACACAACAGATTAATTCTTAAAATGCCCTGCCTACTGACTGTACTATGCAACTGAACTGATATGTAAATTGTAGATTTCATTGCAGATTGCCATTTAGATTTGTGAAGTGAAAAATGTGCTTCTGACATGTTATAAGGAGCTTCTCTGCATCAGCTGGCCTGTCCTAAAAGAAGAGAGCATCTGGATAAAATCCAACATGCAATTTTAGCTTTTGTTGCATTTTGAATAAAACTGGTTGGCTGAACAGCTACCTATTTAAATTCTTGAAAGCTGGTGATTACAAATAAGCCTCCTGGCTGATAATTAGAGTGGCAGTAGAAACCATTCAGAATACCAAAGGGTTGGATAAGATTGCATAAGTAGTTTTCTCTCAAATTGAGTGGTGCGGATAAAAGCAGTTTAATCCTCAAAGAATAAACTATTGCACTTACCCAGGGAGCCCATACGGATGCAGGTTAATTTACTTCGCTCTTCAGAGGTTTGGAGGTTTTTTAACTGCAACAAAGAGGAGGTAAAATAGAGATTAAAATTTATCATCCTTCTCTCATAATTTTCAAGAACAAAAGCATCACATTCATACAGGATGACTCTTGGGTGTTGAGACACACACAACACAGTGAAGAAAAAAAGGTAAATTATTTTTGAGACAGAGCATGATCTCAAATGGCCAGTAGAGGGCAGTCTCGATATTGAGGATGGTGCCAGGCAAGGGCTCATCTCAGAACCCTAAAATGAAAGCTGTTTCAAAAGCAGGGTTTTTAAAAAGCATTGGTTTGTTTAACAGATAAGAAATGAGGGGAAAGAAAGAGAAGAGAGTATTGTCTCGATATTAGTGTGACGCTAATGGGAAACGGCGTTAAAAATATCACACACGCCTGCACTCGTTGTCACTAGCACACATTTGCACGACACGGGCTTCTGCCCTGTGCCACCGTCGCAGCATTGTAGGACGGTGATTCAGCACACAGGCCGTCACGGGGGTCAGCGCCCTGCGATCTGAGCCTGCCTACCAAGGAGGATCAAGCCGGCTGAGCAAGCACAACACGACACAAACCACTGGAGTGCAACCTTAGGAACAGGCCACAGCAGCCCTGTCGGTAGGTCTCTCTCTCTCTGTGTCTCTCTGTCTCTGTCTGTCTGTCTGTCTGTCTGTCTGTCTGTCTTTCTGTCTTTCTGTCTCTCTCTCTGTCTCTCTGTCTCTGTCTGTCTCTCTGTCTCTGTCTCTGTCTGTCTGTCTGTCTTTCTCTGTCTCTTTCTCCCTCCCTCCCTCCTCTATCTCTCCTATACTACTTTTTTAAAATACCCACAGCTCTATTTAACCCACAGTATTTGTGGGAGGTGAGGAAGAAATGACTCACATGATTGCTACATGCTTGTGAAAAGAAAACGCAAATAAAATGGTGACAGACACTCCAACACTCAGTTCTGATCCTGTCAGAATCTTCCAGACAGAAAATTGGGCTGGCAGTGGGGAAGGCACCATCCAGAATTAATTCTAAGCGCTGTGTAGAGTGTCAAACCTTAAAACTCAAAACGTATTTTAAGCGGTATATACTATCTTTCTCAGCATATAATCCATGACTTGAAGGCTAAAATTTTGCTCTTAGGCATCCTAAAGTAAAAAAATCTGATAGTACCTCAAGAAGCATTTTTCAAAAACAGCTACTGTAAAATTGACAGTGGAAATGCGACCATAGGTACAGGACGAAAATGTTAAAAACCAACTACAGATCTTTAGGAATGCTAGGCATGTGTGGGACAAGGAAGGATAAAACTCAGGGCCATTTTGAGTCCCTGAAGCAGCGTTCTGATGGCCAGTGTGGCAGATGACCAGTTCTGTAGAACCAGGCACCCAGGCTCCTCGCAGCCACCTCAAGCTCAGACAATAATGAGAAACACCCATGCCCCGGTTCCTTAAGATTGAAACACTCATCCTTAGCTCGCTGACAGTAAAATGGCAAAAGAGTATTGTGTAGCTCCGCGGCAGTTTCCCCAGCAACTTGCCTAAAACCTAGCTGTAATTAACTTATTTAATATATTTAATGATGTTACATATTTTTGTCAGCAAACATATTTCTTTCTATATGAACACATGGGAAAAAAAGTAAATCATGTGACCTAATGTAAGCCACACTGGGGTGACTTCCAGACACACTTGATCCTGCTCTAAGGACCAGTGTGACTTGGATTTGCTTTTCCTTTTCCTTCCTCAAGAGATTTACATGGGAGAAGCAGAATCAAGCAACCTGAAATATTCCGCTGCTGGAGTTCCCTGGGTCATTCTACTTACTGTAAGAGACAATTAAGATGTTCGAAGAGGACCTTAGAAGCTACAGCGGTTCTGCACACAAAGGCTTTGTGTGTACCTGATTCTATTGCTGGCAAAGAATCTGGGCCACACTGGACACACACATTTCAGGACAAGTTGTAATATAAATTAGTAATCTGCAAGAGAAAAATCTCAGATCCTAAAGTACCTATAAGTTCAAGATGCGTTGAGGCCCAGATAGAACACACAGTAAAACAGATTCTGAAGATTCCTCACGGAAGCTCCCTGGTCCTGCCATTGCTCCTGGTTGTACCTCCCAGGTGGCCCTGCCTGTGCTGTAATTACTGTACGTGCTTAAAAAACATGAACTGTCTCACAGATTTCCCAGCTTCCCCAGGCTGACTCGTTCATTTGTAGTCTACTGAATGTTGACTGAGTAAAGGACATGGCAGTGTTAAGGTTAAGAGAAGGAAAGGGTCACCCAACAAACTTCTCTGAGCGCATTTCATCCTTAATGCAGTCCAGTCCTCTAGAAACAAGATCCAGAGCTGCCACGGAAGGCTCTCACTTACTCACAGGTGGCTCTGTAGCCACATGGTATCCCACCAGATATGCCAACTGCTTCACCTCTTTGCCAGTGACAGTCCATCTTGAGGACTTTCAACACTGCTGGACAATGTGAGTTAATGCTCTTCAATAGGATGTGCTGACTGGGTCGGGCACAACAGGGTGTCTCTCACACTGGAAGGGCTTCTTCAGGAAGGGAGAGAGGGATGGAAGGAGGAAGGAAGGGAGGGAGAGAGGGAGGGAGGGAGCGAGGGAGGAGGTAAGGAGAGAAAGGAAGGAAATAACGTAGAAAGGGCGCGTGCCACCTCCAAGCTGGACACGTCACACCTCCGCCACAGCTTTTCCTCTCTTCTTCCCCCTTGTACCTGCTGAATGGAGAAGTTTAAGGATTGAAAGAAACTTCTAAAGCCTAAGTTGCTACTTGGAGGAAAGTCAACCAGTAGACTCAGGCAACTAAGCTAAAACTGTAATACAAACAACACACTTTTCATTTTATTTTTAAATCGAAATTTGAAATTTTGAAATTCTGTGTTGTTTCTTAAAATTCTGCCAGGGGCCATTTAAATTTTCTTTTCTCTTCTGGGAAGGAATGTACCTAAATCTTCCCAGAAAGATGAGAAAGTTAGTCCCAATTCAGTCTGAGAAAACTGGTGTTATTCCAAAGATCTTCATGGACTTGAGCTGGAATGGGAAAACCAGGCTGCTGAGACTTGGTATGAATTTGAGGTCTGCTGTTCTCTCCCTGTTTCTCATCTACCAGGCATGGAAAAGACACTGAATAATTCAATTCCAAAAACAAGTGTTAAGCCCGAACTATGTGCAGAAACCAACCACAGGAGGGTCTCCCCTAGACACTCCGTGGATAGCCGTCCTCTCTGGTTCTTGTGATGAGGGTGGTGCTCCAGGGAACAACACAGCTTATTCAGACAGTTAACCGAAGACCTGGGAACAAGAAATAATTCAGTTACGGAGAAATGGAAAAGGGACGTGAGAAGGTGATGCAGCATGGAGGCAGGAAGCAGAGCTTGGAAAGACCCTCGAATCTTTCTGAAGGACCTGGAAGTGATTCCCGTGGATGGGAGGCTTTGACTTAGCCTTCGTTTCATTACTGCCCCGATTCTTTACTCTTCCCTTGTAGACCCTACTGTGTTACTGTTTAATTACCTTTTCATTTCTTTAGCTCTTACTTATTTAAAGTAGCTAGGCTATTTCCTGCTTTTGCATAAACAATTTGAATTACAGTCCCATAAACTGGGTACAAGCAAAAAGGGAAATGTTTTCTCCTTCCCCAGGCCTGGCTCCTTTGTTAGGCCCTAAACAGAGTCTTATGGGCCCTGGGCACACACAGACCAAGCAATACAACTTCTAGATCTTTCTCTACGCAGTTAAGCACAGACCACAATACAGTAGCTTGTGTTTCTACACATTGCTTTTGGTCAGATGTGAAGAAAATAAATAAATTTTTGTGAATTCTGAAATTGGCTGCCACAGAACAAGGTTGCATAACCGGTTTCTCTGCAGGGAACACCCATTTTTCTGGGAAAATTTGGGCACATTCTTTCCTAGAAGAGAAAGGAAAGACTAAGTGGCCTTTGGCAGAGTTTTAGACCCAATTGTTTAAAAATTTTACATTACCAAGATGAAATGGTACAGCTGTGAAAATTTCGATTTCAAGTTGCCCATAGTCTCCAAACAATTCATAGCTCTCTGGCATACCCCTTACTCAGCCTGAGATGCAAACTTTGTTAACAGCCTCACTTGCAAAACCAGGTGAATGGCTCCATCCCAGCTCTTCCTGAGGCTACTGCAGGCCTAGATCTAGTGCTATCATTCAAGAGATAACCAAACTGAGATGGAAATCCTAATTTTGTCTTCTCTGACTCCTAAGGCTTAAGCAAGCTAGGTAACTTTGCTAGGTAAATGTTTATCTCTAAATAAAAGAAAAGACTTAGGTAAGATTCCCTTCTCCTTCACCCTCTTGACTCATCTCATTCTTTACTTTGTATCAAGATACAGTCTTTGTTTCTATCTTCATCTTTAATGGAAGACTGTTTTTAGTTTTCTTAAAGCATTATATTGAGATTGTTCCTGATCTCCAGTCTAAACACTCAACAACTGTCTATTACATTGATCCGGTTCGTTTTCCTCACGGAATTCATCATTACCTAAAATTTTATTTTTGAAAAAACTTATTCGCTTGTTGACCTCTACGCCTCTCTATATAATAGACCATAAATTTCATGAGCGCTTGAACCTTGTCTACTTGTTCAACACTGCAAGGATAGTACCTCACACATAGTATTCCCCTAATTAAATGAATAAGAAAGTGAATGAATCCAATATGCACTGTGGGAAGTGTCAGTGTTAGATTGTGCTAACCTTGTGGGACTCTCCCCGAGAATGGGATGATTCGGTCCAATGAGAACTCTATCCATGAGATAATCCAGGACTGAGGAAGAAGAAAGAGGGTAAAGAGGAAATGAAGTCAGAAGGACTAAGGAGGAAGAATTTCTGCGAGCCTTGATGGAAGCAAACTTGGTAGTGACTAGACAAACATCTGCACTTCCTTTTCTGTACCTCAAGGATATTTCTAATACAGGCAAGGCCTGCGGCTATTCTTGTACTTCTTAGGCCAATTGGAAAGCATCTATTTATCTCTGCATCACAGTGATACCGTGGTGTTGTGAGTATTAAAGTGTAGAAACCCCACAGCACCCTGATACAAATTAAGTAACAGACACGGCTCCTGGATCTCTCTCCTCCAGGCACCTTCAGCAACTCCTTCTCTACTCCTCAGCTCTTGTTCACATCTACACATACACTCACAGCTTTTACCTTTAAAATAATCCTTTATTCCTGCAATTTATTTATCTCTCTGCTCCTCTTCACAATCCAGATTCCAAAAATAACCTGACCCTTTGACTAGTTGGCCATCCAAAATACAGTTACAGAGACCGCTTGAACCAAGGCCACCAGCAATTTCCCTATTGTCAATAAATTACTCTCACCTTAGTATTATTGGCTCAAAACCTTGACCCATAAGCTACTCAGAATAGCTACTATAGCAAAAAATTGTTTTTGAAAAACTTTTCAGACTTCATCAATCTATTTTAACACTATAGAAAAAAAATTTTTAAAGCAATAAGATTTGGCTAAATATTTAGAAGGTGACAGGAAGCATATAACCAATTGGTAGAATATGTTTTAGCAAATCAGAAAATATTTTATAAGTTTCTACAACATAATGCCTAAATGTACATTATAAATATATTTAATAATAAAAGCCATGCTATTTTATTAATGTAAATTGTCATATATTCAGACTTGCAAAAGACAATTTTCAAAGATATTATTTTTCTAAATATACCTCCAATATTTGTAATTGTAAAACAAGTCCAAGATGTAATTATATCTACTTTTTTAAATCCAAAGACACACGCAAAAAAAAAAAAAATATGTCTCAAAGTCAGAGTCTTAACAGAGGCAAAAAGCTGTTGGGAACATTTTAGACAACATTAAGATAACATAAACACAGAATTTGGAACATAAACATAGAACTTAAATTAGGAAAAAGGATAAATGTGATGATGCAGTGGAAATCATCATAAACATTTTTTTCTTCTTAGATTGTGGTAAAACATATGTAACACGTAATTAGCCATTGCAACCAATTTTAAGCGTATAATTCTGTGGCTTTCAGTACATTTGTTTTGTTATACAATCATCTGTATTTTCCATTTCCAGAATATTTTTCATGTTCCCAAGCTGAAACTCGATGCCCATTCTACAGTAACACCCATTTCCTTAGATCTTGGAAACCGCTCTTCTACTTTATGACTCTGTGAATCTGACTTTTCTAGATACATCAGATAAGTGCACTCATCCAATATCTGTTGTTTGTGAATAGCTTATTTCTCTTTGCATGTCTTTTTTCATCCATGTTAAGAATGAATAATATTCTATTGTGTGGACATCTCACATTTCCTTCATCTATTTATCTGTTCATAGCCATTTGCATTGTTTCTATCATTTTAGCTTTTGTGAATTATGCTGTTAAACTTCTTAAAAAAATATATTTCTTATAAAACGTTACCTAGAAAAATTTCCCAACAAAATAAAACTGACGTTTGCCTTCAAAAGAAAATCTATCAATAAGGAGAGAAAGTCTATGTTGTTTAGTGAGACTAAAATTGCCTTCTCACAAGAAAAATGCTTGTTTTACTACTTGAAAATTGTACTGTGCGTTTAACCATCTTCCCTCCTCCATCACCAAACCTAATTTTACAATTCATAAAACATAGAAATTGTAGTTAAGCATCCCTATTACTATATTTATGCCACTGAATGATATCATTTTGCAAAATTCGCCCAGTTAATCACAACAGAGAACAAATCTTTATCGTCTTATTTTCCAGAGGATTAAATTAAATCTGTGGGTATGTGTAAACTTTAGAAACACTGCAGTGCAAATACCAGACAGAGACTAGGATTAACCAAAGTCTATCTACACCCCACATGAGGAACCTTATGAATGATTTCATCATTATTTTATTTTAAAGAGAAAAAACCCAGAAAAATCAAAAAGCAAGCAACCAAAAATAAAAAAAAACAAAAGCAAACAACATCAAAAACAGTAGTGATACAGATTTTTAAAACATGATAGGAATTTAAAAATGGTTCCAATGTTGCATATTGTTATTGTCAAAATAGTTGCTCAGGTTACCAGATACAGAAATAAAACAATAAAATGGAACCAAACATTGCATTTCAAAAATAAGACAGATGGAAATTTCCCATAGTTGCTCCAATGCATAGTATTGTCCTTCAAACAGATGCTCAGACCACCAGCTTTAGACCTGAAAAGTCAATCAAACAGTACAAGTATTGTTAATTTTTTTATATCAGTTGCTATCATCTCAGCCTGAGTTCCTCCAAATCAGCAGCTATTTATGGTAGGGTGGAGCAGTTTGCTTTTCTTGCCTCCCAGCCCATGCACTGGCTGGCTCATGGGAAGGCATGGTTTGGCTTCCTGATTCTCTCCCTATTCCTTGTGGCTGCTGCTGGCTCAGGGGAAACATGAAGGTTTCATCTTAATGAAACCCCTAGTAATAAAATTTCGAAGGCTAACTCCCAGGAATTGTATTGTAAAAGCTGTGATATGGAAGATATCTTAGGGCTCATCTTGACAGTTTCTCATTTGAGACAGAATTTTTCATTGCACGATAAAGATAGCCTCCTTACATCATTTTTAGGAGTATAAGATTAATCAATGAGTAACGTTCTATTTCTTAACCAAAAAGAAAAATCTAGTATAATTCTTGGTTTTTATAATTCAATAGTTTTTCAAGGCAGCTTACTGGTAAGTTATTTCATATTTTCAAGCTACAGAGATTGGGTACAATAAATCTGAACCTGTCATCTCAGGAACTCTTATTAAAGTACATGTGTTTATCAGAGGCCAGATCTTGTTGAGAGATTGCCTAACTGAATGCTTCTTGGAGGTGAACTATTCATGTGGGAGAATCATCACATTGCTGAGTAATACTGCTGCCTTTTCACAAGTCTAGCACTGTTTGATCAAATGAAACCAGGCAGTCCTCCTCACACACACCTCCCTCCCACAGCATCTTCAGGATGGCTTCTCAGTGTGATTTTATCATAAAGGCACAGAGGGATTAACTTTTTGATTTCATACTGCAAAGATATTGTAAGATGCTCTAGTGTTGCCACTAAATCTGTGCCACTCAAAAGTGACAATCTTGTCATCTGTCTCACAGTATTGTGCTCAATATCTCAAACAATGTCATATAAAACATAAATTCAAAGAGGAAGAAGAAAAATTAATTCATCTTTTTTGTGTAGTAAAAGAGTTAATCATTGCAGTAAATGCTAAACAAACAGGTGTTTCTCTCTTCATAATTCCAAACTTACCAGATGAATAGATTAGAAAAAGTATTATTTATATTTCAAAGAAATTATTTTTTAATGTATAGATTCACTGAGTTTCTGTTCTGCCTTTGAAATTTTGAACATATGCATTTTATAGACAACATAATTTATACCCTGAATATTGAAAGTAAGGGGTTCTGGGAAATAAGGTTCTCAGGTTTTGCTAGCCCTGTGGTACTGGGGAGAGTATAAAAGAATATGGAAATAAATGCTGTATGTGTGTGTGTGTGTGTGTGTGTGTGTGTGTGTGTGGTGTATACTGTAGATATAGTCACACTGCGTATTTAACCATATAATCATTTGTTCACATAAGGTGCACACACTCACAAGCAAAGGATAAGATTTCCTTTGCTGCGTATCTACCATACTGGCTAGAGGCCACACCATTCGCACAGGGTTTCCAAGATGAGATCATCTCAGGCTCTTCCCTAGAGGTAATTATAGCACTATTTGTAGAAGTGCAGCCCTGGCTTTACTCATGAACCATCTCAGTGTTGTCACAGTTATTCAACCAACAAAGCATAGTTCAAACAAACAAAAAAGAGAGATAAAACCGAGCCAGTTAAGCCTGGAGATTCAATTTCCCATTTATGAATTAGATGAAGAAGGCTTCTTTTCCTGAGACCGTTTCTAGTGCAGCCAGCTGGCTTGCATTTTACAAGCCATTTCCAGCGTGTACTCTTGTGTTTGCAGCTGAGTTATCTGTTATTTGGCAACATTTCTTGATTATTCAACCTGAAGGGAAACGTAGAAAAGCCACAGACATGTACATGGATGAGTATACATCCCAGTTCATTTCCTCAGCACTTACTAAGCAGCAGAGATTTTGTTTATGTTCATGAACATTATTAAAATATGTAAGGTTAATGGTGTTATCCTTATTTTATCAACAGTTTCTTGCAAAACTCCAACTCCAGTCTAACTGCTATTGAGATACAAACACGTAAGAAGCAATACATCCACATATTCACTTGAGTGTTTAAGTATAGAACAGAAGTAAAGCCAGGCAGGAGGAGGAGTGGTGGGGGGGGAAGTATACATAAAACCCAAAGAGGCCCACATTTTCTTAAAAAGCAAAAAACATAAAATTCCTACAAAAATCTTGTATTAACGCCTTATTATATTTCAATCAATATGTCAAGTTAGCATCCATTTGCTCTAACTTGCCAATTTTCTGCTAACAATAGACAGTAATGAGCACAAAATTTTTATACCATGCACATTAAAATCTTCAAGTTAATAATATAACTGTATAATCACTTTCCAGGAAACTTCAGTGTTAATATAACAAGAGAATTAATGGGATATTCCCAAAGTTCATAAGACTCAGCTATTACAAAGCATAAAATTTCATAGTGTAGGCACTAGCTCTCCCAAGTTCCAGCCATTCACCACATTTATAGACTGGCCACAATAAATCACTAATCAAATTTTCAGTCCCTCCAGTTCTGTCACACTGAGTGAAGATCCAAATAAAATAAGTAACAAATTGAACAATAATATGGTAAATGAGACAATTACTCTGGATGTCAAGCCAAAATCACTTTCTCATAAGCAGGAATTCTGCATAAGTCAGACAGTCTTTTGATGTCAGCTATATACTCCCAATTTTCATTTTCTTCAATTACTTTAATTCTTGGAAAGAATGTGTAGCATCAAATATAGGAAATCTTGAAAACAAATTTCTTTTTAAAAAATCAACTGAATAACCAATTGAAACTGTTTTCAGAAGCAACCATTTTTCTTCATTGGAAATGACAACCAAAAATACTTTTATGAATAAAATTTAGAATCTTCAACTCACTTCATCCAAGCAATAGTCTATTACTCAAACTTCAAAAGACTTATCCCATATCTCTTTCACAGGAAATGTTTTTTAAGTTTGCTTAGTACATGTTTGCAGTATATAATAATTACATTCACCGTGGGGAGTTGATTCACGTACATAGCATATCTTAATCCTTTTCCCTTCCTCTTTCCTTCTCCCTCTGGTCTCCCTCTATCTCTTGGTCCCCTTCCCTTTTTCAGAAGATCTATTTTTCTCTTTTCCTATTATCTGGCTTTTACTTTGCTTTTTAAATTATTTATACTTTGTGTTTCTCATAGAAGGGAAGCCATACAGTATTAGTTTGATGTTACAGTGTTCATGCCATTCATATGTGAATGTTCTAAAAATATCAGGCACATAGTTACGTTGGGCCATTACTTTGTCAGCTTCTTCATGTCACCACAGAACTTCAGCGGGACTCACAGCCACATGTATGGAGTTCAATTTCTTAAACAAAAAAGTTGATATAAAATTTTTGAAGTCCTTTTCAGCGCATATTTTGGGTAATTCCCAACCTTACCTGACCTCAAAGAACTTATGTGGCAAAAAAAAATAAGTAAGTTATCATGTTTCATATAGATACAATTACTACTATTGAATTTTATTGCCAACCACCAACTATGCGTCCACGTGGTTTGGTAAAGGTGGTATGTGCTGCTGATCTCCTTGTCCTAACAGGTAACGGTTCTCAAAGACCTTCATTCTTGTCCCAGCTCATTATTGTAGCCACGTATAATATACATAACCCTAATTTTGGTCACATTCATACAGAAAGTAAATGTTTCATCCTTTAAGCTGAGAAAATAGCAATTCTACATTAATTGGTTGACCAAGATTCTTCATACAACTATGAACTAAGTCAACACAGGATGAGTAAACAAGCAAAAGCAGACCTTGTCACAAATCTAATCATATCTTATACCAAGGGACTATTTTAAGGCTGCCCAACTGAACTCCATCAAAGGGGTCCAGGATGATGATACATGTTTAAAGTAGAATTTTCTTTAAAATGACTGTACTTGGCAATCACTGATGAATTACTACTAGTTTCTTACTCTTCGAACTTTCCTATTGATTAATTCCTAATGTAATTATCTCCATAACTGCATAGTTGTGTATATTATATATGATTTAATCACACATTGTTTTTAACTTTTAACTGAGTGTTATGACCTGCATATCATCTTTACTCATCAAGAGC